TAGAAACAATTATTAGTTACTTGGTATTAAAATTATTAAGATATATTATTATATAGTTACTTATGCTATTAAGTATTTTTATTTGATATTAGTTATTTTACATATTGTAATTGTTTTCAAAAAATTCTGAAAAATTAGATATTGGTGTTCAAGAATAATTCTAACTTTAATATTTTCTTATACGAGTATATCTATTTGTATATGTAATGCCTTACAAGGAATTTGGAATAAATTAATCTGATAAGATGAAGTTGTTCTGAGGGAAACTTTAATTAATACATTCTTTTCATTCCACGATAATGAATTGATAAGTCATGTCCGAAGAAGAAATATTTAAATTAGATGAATTTTAATTTAAACAAGATTCACAGGATAAAAATAGTCAATATAAACATAAAAATATTATTAATACACACAAATGCTTTGCACTTTGGCGCATGTTTTGAATATTTTTAACGTAAACTAATTTTTTAATGGTGAAATTTTAGACATTTTTCACATTTTCATAATTTCATATACATAATGAAAATACATTAAATTAAAAGTTAATAACTCGTTTCTTTTTTTTAAATCCTTATTCTGTTGATACAATCGAGCCATTTGAGTTTTCTTAATGCTTGAGTACCCGAACAAGTTTACTCGATCTTCACCAATTAGAGTCAAGCTCTCGAGTACCTGATACATTTGAGTATTTGCATACCCTTAGAGTTAACTTTCTAACTTACATAATAAAATAACTTATATAACTATAATTTTCATTTTAAATACTTATTTTATCCTTAACATAATGGTTTTTAGGTTTAAAGCTATTCCAAGCTACGCCAAAGGTTCTAACTGTACCTTTGAGTAGAAGCAAATATGTTTCTGTTTATAAAAGTAACAAAGAAGCATCTTGGGGAGATGTTGCAGACAGCAGAATTTCCTATATGTTTTTTGGTGAAATTATACGAGGAACTGCAATCGCTTTATCTGCAATTTTTAGAGAACAAGCAACAATAAATTATCCATTCGAAAAGGGTCCTTTGAGTCCAAGATTTAGAGGAGAACATGCACTGAGGAGGTATGTTGTAATTTATAAATTTATTCTTAAAGTATAAGCAGTTAAATTGTAATATTTTTGTGAGAGAGTTCTATACATTTATATAAAGTATTATGATGTTTCATTTTAATAAGAATGTATTGCAACCGAATTCGTCCATCGTCCAATGGCTGATTTGGTCATCTACAATGGATAAAAGTCAATTTTATAAATTTCGCCTCTTGTAAAATTTTTGCTTCTTGAAGTAGTTGAATGTGTAAGGAATAAAATTAGTTTCGAGTTAAACCGGACACATTATATATTTTTATCTAAGAAATTCATTCAGAACTCTTAAAAATGTTCAATATATTTTTAACTCTTAATTACCAGTGTTGGTTCTAGAGACCAAAAAAAAGAAATTAACGAATAACTCTGATTAAAATAAATATTGTTGACTTATTTTTCTATTTTAATTGATAAGGAACATACAGTAAGAAAAATGATAGATACAAATTTTTTCATTTTCTTAAAACTTAAAAAAATATAAAAAAAATACTTAAAGAAGTATTTTCTCACAAATAAGAACATGGACTTTCAAATAACAAAATGTTGTACAGTGATAAAATACTTTATAAGGTAAAATACACGATCAACCAATGTAATGACATTACTGACAGATTGTTTTCTACTCTTCCAGAATTTCAACATACGTTTATTTTACTAATTATTTGTCATAATAATATGCAAGACTTCGTTGCTTTGGTAACATAACAAGAAAATCAATATTTTTAATTTCTTGAGTTGTGAAAATATGAAAAAACATTAAAATAAGATATCTCGTAACCTGGTCATAAATTTCAGGTTGCTATATACAGGATATCTCGTGACACATATGCAGTGTGTTAATGGACCAATATTGGTTATAATTAAAATTTTTCACCCCAGTAGTTATGGATTTACTGAATTGAAATATAATTTATGTTCATAAAATGAGTGAAAAGTAAATATGAAGTAAATGTAAGAACTTGTAGTTTAACTTGTGTCTGTATAAGTAACATACATGACTAAGTACATAGAGGTTGTCTTTGTTATTTCTACACTTATGAGAAACCTTTTAAATTCTAGGGGCACATTTAATAACAGTGAAAAGAATTTCTTTTCAAGACATTTTTCATGAAGTTTCAAGGTCATCAATATTTTTTTAAATAGAAGCTTATACTCTTTGTTCTTTATATTTTTCTAAGGAATAAAAAACCCAATTTAATGATCTTAATAACCATATTATTTTACTATATTTTATAGGCCCATGTAACGTTGAAGACACATACCAATATATTGGCATCTTGTTGATTAATTTTATTTTGCATAGCAAAATGACGAATAAAGTTAAGTAATTAACTTAAACTTTTATATGCTCAGGCATGGAAGTTCAATGTAATTTAATTGTAATGTAAAGATTACAAGTTAATTTGTATTTACAGATTGAAAGTTGTTAATTTTATATAACATGCATTTTTTTATAGTTACAACAAAAATTTGGCTTATAGAGGGTTAATCATCCAATCTTGAGAAATTAAATCTCTTGCACCCCCAATTACTTTTACATTCTCTTGCAATAATTCCGTAATGGTAGATGTAATCTAATAAGTCAAATTTAGGACTGTTTATTCGTTATACCAGAGAAACATTAGATTTCACTTTCTTTAAAATGAATTTTATAATGTATATTTACATTATATATTTCATGGTTACAGTATCTCCTGAAGCAGTTGCAATTCATGCATGTTTAAATGCTATTACTAATTCATAGTTCTATACTGAAACATACATTTGTGTTATAAATATAGTTTGTTATATTAAACTCATTGAGAGTTAGAATCTTATATTTTACTTTTATGTTTTGAAGTTATTTGTTATATCTTAAAAAGGACATTTGCATGAACTAAATAAATATACACTTTAGTATGTACTTACAAATCCATGAACTGTATTTGTTGCAGCTTTTTCAAGAATAACGTTAGGAAATATTAACGTAAATTTCTCAATATTATATGATTGAAATGGTGTGGTTATTAAACTCATTAAATTTTCATTTTTTATAAAAATATGGAACAAAAAATATGAGTTTACATTTAAAAAATATGGATGACTTTGAAATTTTGTAAAAAACGATCTCGAAAAAAGTTTTTTTCACTACCAGGGTACGTGTCCCATGAAACTGTATAATTTTGTCTTCAAAAGTTTTTTCATAAAATTAAAAATAACAGAGATAGTCAGATATTTCCATTTAAATGAAATATCTAGTATACACTATTTATAAGTTAATCGTCAATTAAATATAAAAGTTTACTTTTTACTTGGGATAAAGTATTGCTGATAATTATAAGACAAACAACTTAAATCGAATAATTAAAAAACATGTTTTTTCAGCAACATCATTTTAAATGCTAATGACATATAATATTAAAACCTTATATTATTAACTGGTCCAAACAGTTTTCATAGATTTTACAAGCATATCCACTTTGATTTTTTAATATCAGACAGACGGGTAAATCTAATAAATTATTTTTCTCAGATATCCATCGGGGGAGGAAAGATGTATTGCATGTAAACTATGTGAAGCAATTTGTCCAGCACAAGCTATTACTATTGAAGCTGAAGAAAGAGCTGATGGTTCTCGACGAACAACCAGATATGATATAGACATGACTAAATGTATTTATTGTGGTTTCTGTCAAGAGGCTTGCCCAGTGGACGCAATCGTAGAAGTATTTACAATGAATATGTTAACTAGACAACAAATATTATGCATTCATAGTAGATACAACTAACTGAAATGCAGTTAGCAAATGAAAACTTAGACTTACTATAAGTCTAGAATATTCTGTATATCTTTATATAAAATTGGAATATTACAGATTATGTGTTAAAAGTAAAAATGAAATAAAAACTTATTTTTTGTTGTAAGAGCTTTGATACATTAAAAGCAAAAGAAAAATTGGCTAAAGTTTTTATCTTACATCATGCTAATTTACGGATACTATAAATGCATAAAACCTGCTGTCTTAAGGGGGTATTTTCATTTGGAATTTACAAAAAATGTGCTTTTTCTTTCTTGCATTTTTTGAAAACGTATATCTTCAAAAATATATAGGCCAAAGAATATGTTGGAATTCTTAAAAATAATAGAGTTACGAATATTTGAGAAGTACTGTTACGTCATAATGCGATATGTAGCATCAGGTACAGTGAGTTACTAATATGATTCCAGCCGATCTGTGGTTCAAAAGTGAAGAGGGACAAGGGAATTCAGCCTCACGCTTTACCTCAACTCGCGGTTTAGCCAGTAATAAAAACGTGCCGAAACTAGTTCTGCCATTACTATCGGGCCGAACGCCGCGAGTGGACGTCTCCACTTGTCTTTTTTCACTTTTGAACCACAGGCCGGCTGGGATCATGTCAACTTTTTTGTTTCTGTTTACCATACCGGCCGGAATCATGTCAACCATTAAGACATGATCTTTGAAAATGATTTTTTTTAACAGTGTACAACTCCTAAACTTTCATATATTTTGATTAAAAAATCAAAAAAAAGTAGCGCCTAGATTAAAATAGAAGTTCTCAAAGTAAGCCTAAAAACTATCGTTTTAAATGAAAATATCCACTTAATTATATATTGCAGAAAATTATATTATATTAACATTTATCATTGTAACTTTCTAGGGTCCAAATTTCGAGTTTTCTACAGAAACACATGAGGAGTTGTTATATAATAAAGAGAAACTTTTGAACAATGGAGACAGATGGGAATCAGAAATTGCTAGTAACATTCAGGCTGATCATTTATATCGTTAGTCAAATTGTAGAATATAATAAATTATGTGCAGGAAATAACTAAAAATAATTTGTATAGTTTATTTGATTAGTAAATACATATTGATATTATCCTATAATTTGAATTTTTTTCATTAATTCTGTATAAGCAATAGTGCAATCACATGACCATATTAAAACTCTTGCCACGTGCAACTGATCAGTTCCAGTCGGACAAGTATTTAGATCATTAAGTGGTCTTCTTTGATGATTCTGACTTTAAATGTCAGGAATTTAATGTTTAGAGAACTTGAAACTTTACATTTACTTATTCCGTTCCTAGTTCTTTTAATTTGAATTAACAATATTGAGTATTCCATGATTAAACTTCTTAAAGTTCATTCTTACATATAAACAATCGTTGTCTCTATAACGATTGCACAATTTCTTAGTTCCACCGAGAAGCGTTTCAAATTTATCCACTAATGGTGTGAATATATTCGGGTTTTTTTTAAAATGCTCTTACTAATTCTTTGGAGACTACCGCCGCATATACTTATATGTTCTACGTAAACTATCTTATCTGGCCGATGAATTCATATATGCGTTCGGTGAAAGTAACTGATAAAGCCGAAAGAACATTTTATTTATCCTGTGGAGAATCTGCGTGTGTGTGTGTACATATGTCCAGAATTTGGCATCTTAGACTGCTGTAAACGATAATAGCGTGTAGGCAGAAATGTACGCTGGCAATTTCAAACGACTAAGTATTGCGTCAGCGGCTCCACGGTATGGTTGACTTCAAATCAATGTGGCCAGATCGGGGAAATTGAGAGCAATATAATTTACCCTCTCCTTGGTGTTACCATAGAGTTTTGCGGTGATTGCAAGGGTTGTTGGGGGATTCCCGCTGATAAGGAATAGGATAGTGGAAAGCGGAGTGAGGGAAAAAAGGTTGTTTTGCCTTTTTCTGGCTCCATTGCTTCGAACCGTTCCGTCTGCAAAGGGTTAATAAAAGGGCAAGCATAGCTCCTATAAATGTCATTATAGTAAGATATTCAAAAGCAACACGGACTTTGAATTGCTGACTCTTCACATATACAGTGGCGGTCATATACTTACGTACAGTTCCTATTTAAACTTTTAATGTTTATTTACTTCGTTAAAGCGTTTATAGCGACTGTTCACAACTTGTTTGTTTCTAGGGATCAAGAAAAACCCTCATGCTGTTTTATATATTAGGATAGATACTTCTTAGAAATAATATGTAAACAGTCGCTATAGACGCTTTAAGGAAGTAAATAAACATTAAAAGTTTAAATAGGAACTATACATAAGTATATGACCGCCACTGTATGCGATTTTACATAAGCTAAACAGTCTGGCATTTTAAGGTCATGACCATTTTTTACAAACTGTGCAAATGTTCATCCATGGTAAGAAGACTAGACGATTGTGACCATATGTTGAGATTTTATTGAAATACATCATTCAAGTGCAAAAATATGATACTTTTATTAATAATATTGTCAGATAATAAAACTTTGCGCATGAAATAACATGAATAATTTTTCAATAATGAAAAGAAACTTGTACTTTGACATTTGAATGAATTCAATCTGTTAAAAGTAATAATCGAAATCAGAAAAACTGTCACCTTGCTCAAATTTATTTTTACAAGCTTATTAAAATTATAAACTGAATAAGAAGCTATTGGTAAACAGCAATCTGTTTTTCTTTTGGATCGTTTCTTTTGGAAAATTTATGAATGTAGATAAGTATACAATATAAGAAGAGGAATATGGTTTCATATCGATTAGAAGTAGTGTTGAAACATTTGAAACTTCTCTTGATGTGCAGTTCTCCTTTAAAATTACCGTATACTACTCGTGTTCTGTTGGATTTCATGGTCAATCAAATTGTAAGTATTCTACTAATGTTTTATTTATTCGCAGATATGTGTACAGTGCAGCTTCTACGTTTGCATCAGTTTACTTAGGTTCAAAAGTGCACGGTGGAACGATTCCAAGAACCTAGTAAAAAAATTAAGTTTGAATTAAATTAAAATAAAGTTTTATGCTGCGTCTGGATTAGGTCTGTATTCTCCGGACTAAACACTATAATATGCGTTAAATAAAAAGTTAGTATATTGCGGAAAACACAAAGAAAGTCAAATCTTTCGATATGGGCCTTGCAACTAATCACTTCTGTGCGGCGTATTTCGCATTTGAATTTTAACACCGATTTAATCGTGGTTCCCAACATCATACCATTTAAGTAAAAATATCTCTGTGTTCTTCGAAGCTAACATTGTAATATACGTTAAATAAAAATTTTGTGTAGGATACTCGAAAAAGAATCATAACTGATGCGTTACGTTCCGCGATTAATTATATTGGCACGGCATACCTCGCATCCTAAACTTGATATTGATTTGATTATTCTAATCATAATACAGCGTTAACACCGGACAATACAGAAATACTTTTCTTTGAATGGTACGATGTTGGAAACTACGATTAAATCATACTGGAACGGAAATATCATCGATAAAAGGATAATATGTCGCCTATTCTGTGCAATTTAAAAAAAAAATTTTACGTTAAATATGTCATGAATCGTTTGAATTAGGCAATTAAAATTTGACATGACTTATTTTCTCAAGGAATGTAACAAATTTTGTGAATTTAAAAAAATCCGTGGTCATGTGGAAAATTTTTTTCGATTTGACATACAATGGCTCGTGCGTGTGTCGAACCTATACCATTGTTTTTTATAATATAAGAGCTATAAAATGTTTTTTAAGCATAATAAATGAGCTATCTTGAATTTTATTTAACAAAAATGCAGATATTGCTGCTGAGTGCAAATATTAATAGATAATATTAATAGATTAAATTTTAAATCACAAGATTTTTAATCGTATTTATGAAAAACTTAAGCTTCTAATTATATAAGACAGACAGTATTTGTTACGTTGTTATAAAAATGAGCATGCCGATCGTCCATATTCCTTCATACACCTTTCTTACAATTAATTCAGTACATCTTTAATTGTTTCAAACCGTTATTTGTCACCAGCAAGTGTCAGAATAATCAATAAAATACGGAATTTCACATTTATAATGACAAATTGAAAATTCCAATGTGTTTATTATTATTAGTTTCTAAGGTGTCTACTTTCAGTATTTAATTCATTCAGTATTTTGTTCATTTATCGTATTCACTGTGAAATGTTTAGAAAAGAAGCTATTCGGATTAAATCGCTAGAAGTGAGTCGGATCTCTGTTTTCTTTCGTTTTTTTGTATCTATTATTATAAATGTCATAATTATTTATATATAGACGTACAAAAGAAAACAAATCAGGAACTACGGAACCCAGAAAAATAAAAGATACAATAATAAAAGTTAACGTTAAAGGACCAGAAATGTATTGCATACCTTGCATCCTACAAAGAAGACTTACTTGTCGAATAATTAAAAAAACCAATTTTTCATTTGACATCACCTGTCAGTAAAATAATATTTGTTGGAAAAACAACAAAAGAAGATTAGGCCAAAGAAGGATACTATTAAAACAAGAATGAAGACTAATAAGGACGGATGAATTAATAACATAAATACAGGATCCTCTAGAGATTAATATTCCATTTATTACAATGAAAAATTCATTCACCCACCTTCTAAAGATTGGGTTCAATGCAATCTTTGCGAAAAATCGCGTCACGAAAACTGTGCTAGTAGATGTAGCGTTAAAAGGTAGGATATTTGCGACAAATGTGCCAATAATTGATTTTATTATCATTAAATTGTACAATTTCGAATTAAACAAAAAATAAATGTTCGGTTTAGATCCCAAACGATCAGTGAAAAACTAATAGTTAAAACTGATAATGAAAATCATTTTTATAAATTTGTTATTAATATATACTCAGCTTTAATTTGAGTAACAAAAATTTTGAAGAAAAAGTGAAAAATCTTCGTTTTATAAGCAAGAAACTGAAAAATGAGAAAATCAGATTTGCCTCAAATTCTGGGGCTATATATATATAAGTCATTAACATTAAAGATATAATTTATGTCTATGCATAGGTTCTTCATAGAAAATGACGAATATTTATTACAAAACATACTTATAATGTATGTGATGTATAATGCTATTTAAAAGAACATACATATGTAAGTGACTTAGGTTTGGAAAATGGAAAAGAGAAATGTTTTGTGATAAAAATAATGACTGTATAAGTCAGCATAAAAATACTATTTGAAAGTCAACATACTTTTCTTGTATTCTCTAAACGTTATGTAATTTTTATATATTTCTGTTTAATTCATATTGTAAACTCATTTTTCATAAAAAATGTAAGGTCTTTCACAAATTTTACGATTCACAGTTCAACAGATTTCCAACCTAATTTTTTTTTAAATATTAAACGAAGCAAAATTTAAAAAGTAATTATTTAAACAAGTTCTTTTTAATTATTGTTATAATATATTTATTTAAATCATTACTATAAGTATTTAAAATATATTAAATACTTTAGTAAATCTACTGTCATGAACACAACAAACTTTATTTCAAAAGAATATTCACATTTTTGCAAAACATTTTTTTTCAACAATATACATACATACCTATGTAAGTAAGTGTTCTTTTTATAGTTAAAGAAGGACAAGTTTTCTAGTTTACTAATTTGATGTTTTGTTAAAAATTAAATCTTTCAAAAATTGAAAAATATAAAGAAAAATGCTTCTCAGCACCCATGAATCTGAAATGTCATGTATTAAATGTTGCATGATACTAAATAAATTATCTCTTCTATGTCTCTTATCCATAGAAGAAAAAATGTTGGGCTCCGTGGAAATTGTTTGTGGTTTGGCGATATTAGCAGTCCTTTTCTATTATTATATGACTTGGAAATATGACTTCTGGATAAAGCACGGTATACCTGGACCAAAGCCTAAACTATTCTTTGGCACAAGTAAAGATTTGATACTTGCAAGGACGACACTAGGACATTACACAAAACAGGTTTATGATGAATTCAATGGGACGCCATTGATTGGATTGTTTATGGGAAGGCAACCAACTCTGTTTCTGAATAGTTTAGATCTTATAAAGGACGTCCTTATCAAAGATTTCAACAAATTTTCGGATCGAGGATTTAAATGCTAACCAAGGGTACGAAATTTTATAGCCCTCATCCACGCTTATACTTCATAATTCCCAGAAGTTCTATACTTTCATAAAGTCCATTTACTTTTAAATTGGAAAAAATAACTCATAAAAATCTCGAACTCTAGTTTTCGTGAGAAATCATTGGATTCAACCATCATGTAAGTACTCATACGACGGATAATAGAGGACGGTCGAATATTGATAAACGAACAAGTTGTTTTTTTGCTAATTAACATGTTATTTTTTCATTTAGACATAAATGAATTATGTATTATATATAATTTTTTGTGTGTGTACGTCACATATAGGCTTATTACAATTTTGGAAATATTTACGTGTTTTTCATCTTTTTATGGAACCAACCACTTCCTCAATACATTTTCCACTACCAACCTATTCGAAAATGGTATTTTATTATGTAATTCTCTTTATTTTTTATTGTCTTCTGGCACATGCAGGAAAATAGAATTAAATGTATTGAATGCAATAAAAAATAAGCGAAATTATATGATAAAATACCATTTTCGAATACGGTATTTTTTACGTTTCAATATGACAAAAATGTGTTAAATGAAATACTTATTTTTCGCATTCTGTTGAAAAATTTGGATAAAACTCGGGCACTTTTCAATACAGTCAACGAATAACAATGAACCATTTTTACGGTGAAACTAATTAAAAATTCCAATCTTTGTTTTGAAAAGAAAAATGATAAATACTTATGTATTCGTATATTTTGATTTCTCTATCTAGAGCTAATTTGCTTTATTTTAATATAGATAAAAGTTGAATTCCACACTTTAAAATTACCCACAGTATAATCCCTGTGATAAAAAGTACGCATGTCACCTTAGTCAAATTATTTTGGTCTTAAATAAAATTGTGATTATTGCATGTTTAAATAACACCGTTCATAATACTTGCAGGTTGAACCATTATCGCAGAACATCCTCAATTTAGAACCAGCGCAATGGCGACCATTAAGATCAAAACTGTCGCCAGTGTTTTCATCGGGAAAGTTAAAGGATATGTATTCTTTTATCGTAGATTGTTCAACAAATGTCATAAAATACTTAGATAGAGTGGTCGAAAAGGGAGATATCGTGAAAGTTCGTAATATTACTCAAAAATACACACTTGACGTAATCGGTAACTGTGGTTTTGGTATTGAAACGAAAGTGCTGGAAAACGAAGACTCTGAGTTTCATAAAGTGGGCAAAAGAATCTTCAGTACAGACCTAGAAAATATAGCGCGAGTAAGATGTAAACTATTCTTTCCTGAATTTTACAATTTTCTTGGTCATATAGTACCCGAGAAAAAGATCACCGGTTTCTTCACAAAACTCGTTGCAGAAACGATAGAGTATCGGGAACGTAATAACATACGCAGATTGGATTTTATCAATGTACTCATGGAAATGAAAAAAAATCCGGAAAAGATAGAGAATATGAGTAAGTAAATTTCTTTACGGAAGTTTCTATATCTAAATGCCCGTCTATGTTACCATTAACACAAAAAATCGAACTCTGATTAAGATGGGATCCAAAATGTACAGTTGGGAGATGACTTGATGTTCAGCGGAATGCTTACAGGAGCAAAAGGGACAATAATTAAGTAATGTTTTACCGTATCTTTCAGAATTAACAAATCAATTTCTCACCGCTCAAGCTTTCATCTTCTTTGTGGCTGGTTTCAAGACATCTTCTGCTACTATGGCTAATGTTCTTTACGAGTTGGCCTGTCATCAAGACATACAGGATAAAGTGCGCAATGAAATTATGAAATTTTACGCTGAACATGGTGAAGAAATAAAATATGAGCATATATCGCAATACAAATATTTGGACAAAGTATTTAAAGGTTCGTATAAGCAAATTGTTTTACTTACAAAATATAAAAATATAAAGGAACCACAGTATTCTATAATATTTTATGACATACATTGAAGTATACCACGATATAATGTAAGGGCGGTTTGAATAATGATACAGAATTTCGGTCAGGATGAATACTTTATTTTACAAGACCGATGCGTTCACGACTATCGGAAGTTTCTGTGTTTTGACTCTCTCAATGCTTTTACTCGCCAAAAAATATATCTTCTCCCGCTTTTCCGCTCCTTAAGAAGGAAGATCCGCGCCCCACTCCTTTTTAGGGAAAACCCCAGCGTTGCCGGTTTTCCGAGGCCTGATCGTAGTCGCCCCAAACGCGAGGGGGTGAGCGCGATCGGATCCTTTCCGCTTCTTACCGTCATAAGGGCTTCGAATGCTTGGGCCCCGGTTTATGGCGGTACCTAATGGAACATGGTTCTCGCAGGCTCTTACAATAATATGTACAATGCAGCTCCCATGTTTGCATCAACAGCCCTAGGTTTGAAAGTGCACAGAGGCAAAGAGAAACTCAGCAGTTTTACTTCCGTGTACCCTCCATTAAGGCTCACCTCAAAAGGCCCCCTTGGTCGGTGGGATTGGGGTCATTGGGGTCCAATCAGCTGAGGCCAAAGCCTTACCAACGTTGCCTGTCGGGGATGATGAGTCCCGTGAAAATACTATACGCTTTTCACATTAGTTTCATCGATCACCAAACTAAAAGTGTACAGGGGCAAGTGGACTCTTCCACTTACGATGCTCAGGCTGCCATTGCTTTCGACACATGCTCATTATTGGCGCCAACAATAACAAAGGAGGGAAGCAAACCCGAATGCGGCGAAGTTAGACAGAACTATAAAGAATTTTGTACTCTATCGTTATGTCTCACTTCATTACATTCGATCCTGCTTCCGTCCTTTGTTATTGGCGCACGCCGAGGTCCAAGCGTCGTGAGTGGAAGAGTGCTCTTGTCCCTCTTCAATTATGAACCAAAGGTCGGCTTGGTTAACGTAGGACATCCACAGTAGACTGTTGGTAGCATCGAGCTCCTTTTCAGAGCTTTACTAACTCTCCAGGCTAGTACTGGACCAGTTGGTATGCTGCCACTACGAAGCCAACAACAATGTCCGGTACCGCCTAAGTTGTTGGGCACCCGGACTCCGTAGTACTAATTATCGCAGGTCTATTGGTGCGACCTGTTTAATTTCTCATACAAAAATAAGCAGTATCTCCCATATCTAGGTATCTCTTCCATACCGGGACTTGGTTGGTCCAGCTCAGGTACCCTGGGATCGCCAATTCCCATACCACAATCGTCATGCGGCCTCTGGGAGCAGTGACTCTGTGTACTTTTAAACCTAAGGCCGCTAATGCAAACGTGGAAGCTGCACTGTACTGTAGTTTTTTCTTCAGAAATGTCTGCAAATATAATGCTACGTAGCAAATTCTGGCTACTAAACACGCTCTTCATAAAAATGTAATCGGAGTGTGTATAAAGTACGCGTATTTAGACCTTTCTAACTTTCCTCACCACTTATAAGTATTTAATGACACCAAATATTCAAAATTTGTATAATTACATATTCAGGTAACTCTCGTCTATTTTTTACGACAAATGTGAACTGTCTACCGTTTTTAGTTTTCACGCAACATTTATTTTTTTCCAAAAATCGACCGTTTTTACAAAAACTCATATTTTTCCAAAACTGAGGGTGATCGAGCAATTTGTTTTTCGGATTCCTGTTTAGAGCAAAAATCTCTATAAAGAGCACCTAGTGGTTATTACAGGTCAAGAATCGTATTGGACAGTGTTAGAAATGGAAAAGTAATCTAAAACGTTAACACGTTACTTTCTCTATTTATTGAAGCAAAAGTTTCAATATTTTAAAAAATACGGAAATATGAAATATTCAGCATTATATGTTACGTATAACTTGTTTTATGGAACAATAAGAATAAATAAATTGATTTATTTCTGTAGAAACATTGAGGCTGTATCCAATAGCACCAGTATTGTTCAGGAGAGCAATTGAAGATTACACTTTCCATGATACGAAATTTACAATACCAAAAGATATGTATGTATGGATATCAATATATGCACTGCACCGAGATCCTGAGTATTTTCCAAACCCTCATATCTTCGACTCTGAGAGATTCAACGAAGAAGCTATTGCCGCACGGCATTCCATGTGTTATTTACCCTTCGGTGATGGACCAAGAAATTGCATCGGTACGTTCAAGTATAATTCAGAAAATACCTTTCTTATTCTATAAAATTTTTAAAAAGCTATTCCAAAAGTCTGAAATTAGTGAAGATATCAGTTTTCTTTATGATTCTTCTATTGGTTTTTGTATTCATCCATACACGTATTTCATATTATGTACTCAGTTTCTACATGAATTTTATTGTATATTGATTTTACGTCGACCTTATATAGATTTAATATTGTTTTATTATTTTTAAATGAAAACCAGAACTTATTATTTTTACATTATTTACCGAAAGCCTATTAATAAGCATTCCGATACCAGTGGTTATCGACCGACAGCCTATAAATCGGTTTTTCGATTGACAACTCTTAGCGATCGACAGTCTACTAAAATTACACCGTTTTGAAACAAAAGAGTTTCAAACGTCATAATAAGTGTTTCTTCCTATTTTAATTTTAAGGTTAAGGTAAATGTACCAATATTACATATGAGTATATAGTATAAATATAAATATTTACAATATATTTATAATATAAATTAAGTATAAATATTTATATTGAAATATTTACGTTATATATTTATATTGGCATCATTGTTCAAAATAAGCCTAGGTAAAATACAGTATTATGTTTTATCGCAAACATCGGCAATTTTTAATTTTGTGAAGTACTGTATCTTGCAAATCTCGTTATAAATTTGACAAATTACAAACGATATTGTAAGAATAATAATATAAATTTGGCCAGAAAAAGAGAAAAATGAGGTAGTAAAATATAAAGACATATTAATAAATAAAAAAATATTAATCATAGTGCAGTAGATTTTGAAACATTTAGGTATTTATTTCAATTTGATTTCGGATTTTTCTTCTAGGACAGAAAATGTAACATCATCTGTTTTTGTAATTAATCGTAATTTTCCACAGACTTTTGTCTTTAAAATCTTTTCTAAGAACGTTTTTTTAATTCATATTTAGTGACCTGTAAGATTGTAAAGGGATGTTCCAAAATAAATAAAATATATTTATCAATAAGGAATGTTCTAAAAATAAAAACTGTAACTGAACAATTTAATTATTCACAGAACGACACATTGACATGTAATTTTCCTTTTCTCTCGTATTTAAATTAAACTCAAGCAAAACCGGTCGAGTTATTCTCAACTTGTGTACCAAATCACATACATGTGGTTCAGAATCCAAAAAGTTAACATTGTTCTGATTTTGTCTTTACAGGTGAACGTTTTTCGCATTTTCAATCCAAACTTGGAATGATTAAAATACTTAGAAACTACAAGATGGACGTTTGTGAAAAAACTTTCATTCCATATGAATTTGACCTACAAGCGTCATTGATGGCACCGAAAGAAGACATATACTTAAGAATAACAAAATTGAAAAAATAACGTAAACATAAGAAATTTTTACAATCGTATTTCAGATGGATTATTTCCTCATTTAATGTTTATTACAATATTCATTTACTTATAAACCATGTACGAGTTGTACATATTAATAAATAAATATTATAGGCTCTATTTTTTTCATAGAGCATTCATTAATATACAGAATGTTGTATTTGAATCTTTACACGTAATTATTTTCCAAACTATTTATTATTCCCAAAATGTATTGTTCTGGCACGGTTTATTTGGATGCGACACAGTCGTCGGTGCGAGTAGAGTTATGGTATGGACAATTATGCTCGCTCATTTCTAACACAATATAATTAACGTTTGGAAGCGTTTTATTGATAGCTGCATTTTACCATCTGGTGTCATAACTGACCAGCAGTTGACATACCATCAAAATCGGCAGCTCAACCACTTGAGCCCCGAGCGCGCCCACCGGTACCCTTGCAGGTCAGAAGGGACGACGTACCCCCTACCTCCACCACAAGTAATGTGGGCGTAGGCAAAAACACTGTCATCGGCAACACCCCGATCGTTCGGCTTTCCGATTTGATACTAAGGACACCGCCCTACACCACTATTTATATATATATAGAGTTACAAATTCACGATGAGCAGACAGACCTGTAGTCAACATAAGTTAATTACAAATCACGCTGTACTCACTGGACAAACGCACACATCAACTTTGTACACACATACACACTCCTTTCACTCATTATCAATCAACAAATACAGTCCAAATTCTACCGAGAAGAAGAGGCCTTTTTTCATCCCAACTATTTCACGCAAAGTTAATTCGGTGTGTGAAAGTGTTATGCAACGTCCACTAACATTGCCTGGACAGCGTGCACGAACATGTATGTTTTAAATAAAATTGAGAATGTGCCATTTTTCAAACTTATTGTTCAAAATATTGATTTATATAACACGTTTAAAAATCATGTTTGAAATTGGTGAGAGAGTAGTTAATCTGCAAGTTCACCTTTTATTTACTTGCAGCGACGTGTACAGAGTGTCGAATATAATTTTACACTGGATGATTATCATGTTAATACATTTCGTACCGGCTAATTTTCAGAAAACTGAATTGTGCGAATGACAATTTTCAATGAGATCAACCTATATCACTATACATACAAAAACTCAGATATCATATTGTTATGTAATATATTTTAAATGGATAATCAATTCGAATTCAATTTAATATTTTTTAAATGCTATGGTAATTAGCAAAGTTGCATAGCTAAGTGTCTTTATATAAAAACGAGATTTCTCATTATCAGTATGCAGTATGTTAACAACAGAATGAAATAGAAATGAATCTGATAAAATTGTTTATAAAACATTTCTGTTGCATGCTACTATTAATATGCATAACGCGTGCGTAATTACTTACATTGCGTTTGACACTCTTCACATATCTAAAAATAAATAACAAATGAACTTGTAGATTTTGTGTTTTTATTATTTTAATTTAAATTTAAACATTAAATAAAACAAATCACAAACTTAATCAACAAGATATTAAATCGCTTTGCCATATAAGAACAACAAATATCCAGAAATCAATAACTTATTATAACAAATAAAACAAATTTATTAATACACTCATTTTTGGTATCTCTGACATTTTGTAAATAACTTTATCAGATTCATTGTTAAGTGCATAATAAATAGTTGTAGAACAATCGTAGAATAAGGTATTATGATAATATAACTAACTTCGAAGTATTTGTAAGAGTATATGTGTTTATGTCTATAAAATATTATTTACATATATGTACGTTATAAACGAACATACTTTGCTTCTGCTGAACAGTTTCCAGTACGAAAATTGTAATTTAAAGGGTAAAGGCGCCTAATATGGAACACCATACATTTCGGAAAATAAATAGCTTGATGTGCCAGTTACCATGGAAAACACTTCATTGGTAATAGAAAATAATCATATTAATAGTTGGATATTAATTACGAAACATTATTGTGTATGGTAGTGTATTAAATTTTTTGAAAGACGGGTTGAATAGTCAAATTCCTTAACATCGATGGACCAATAAAAATTATTTTTTCATGATTTATCAAAAGCAATTTGCTGCAAATTTATTTTCTCCTCAGAATGGTTACTATTTTTCTATCGGAATACGTGGATTCTTAATGTAGAACATGTTCCATATTGTATTTTCATATAAATGCATATCCACACCTAAAATAACTATTACCTTTTTCATAATTTTGTATCAAACAGAATATAAAATATCAAGCATAAACTGTGTATAGCATTCCACCTTGTAACTACCATAATGGTAGGAGTAGGAGCTTAAAACTTGGTACAAAGGGGTTTCTTCGAGAGATCTATCGAATGGTATGTGCGAAGGTCGATTTGGTTTTGGGGCACTTTCACCCCTCCTTATTCGACTACGCTCTATCAGACCAAGTTTAAAAACTTTTGCATACTTATACATTATTAAATTGCATGAGATGAAAGAAAATAAAAGTTATTCAGTCTTGTACTTATTTATTTTTCATTATTTAAAAATTGTATATAATTAATTTTTTTCATTATTTTACCAATAATAATTAATTATAGGAAATTCATATAAATATTCCAGATTTAAAAGATATTTTAAATAATGTAAATATAATTAAACATAAAATTGTAAGTATAAAGGAGTTATTCTTACCAAAAATAAATTACACTATACAAATTTACGTTTTATGTAAATATTAGTCTTAAGGAATTGTGGTTTGCATCAGTTCTTCATTTTAACATGTTTCTATAATTATTTCGAAAAATATGTTCAATAAAGAATGTCAGAAGGAAGTGTGTAATGAGAGCATTATGTACTTTTCAATAAAATCATATATGGTTTAACTTCCCCATAAAAAAACTACATATTAACTAATTTAGCCTAAAATATACATTATTTTCAATATTGCAAAACGGTATTAATAAATAACAATTTGCATCTTTAATATTAATATTGAAAAATACTTCTTTTATCTTGAATTTAGAGATTTACTTTAGAACCATCACCATTGATTACGATATAAAAAAATATGTGCTGTTATTTGGAAGTACATAAGTGACTAATATACTGGGAATTGTTAAAATCAATTCACAATGTAAATACCTCGCGTAAGGAGTGTAATAATAACATAGGTAATATCTAAGTGACGCTAGCTTCTTTCAACAATATTAAAGCTTTAAAGAAAGTTCAACAAATTCTAAAAAGTACAACAGTGATTATGCAATTATTAAATATACAGGATGTCGCCGATCTGGCGATACAAGCCGAAAGAAAGTGGAATCTACATAAAAAATAAGTTTAAAAAACAATCAAATTTATTCATTTAGAACTTTATTTTCGAAAAAATTCAATTCGAAAATATCCCTAATAAACCTGGATCTAACTAATTCTGGACCAGTCTAGTAAAAATAAATTGGAAACGTAGAGTGGTATTTTATCATACAAGATATCATTTTCGAATAAATGTTGAAAATTTAGCAAGGGTTCAACATATTTTTACATTTAGATTTACTTCCTTTCAGTTTGTACCATCAAAACGGTGACAAGCTATATATGCAGGGCCGCGCCAACCCAAAGGTGGAAGAAGTGCACCGTATCCGGGCGGCAAAAAACAAATATCTAATATTTATTTTATACACCTAATGTTTACTTTGAATTATGCAATGCAGTATAGTATGAAGAATGGGACGACGTACTGTCTTGTAGCGAAGTAAAGTTGAAAGATCACAATGATGTTTTTCAATTTTTTAAGGATACACCAGTAAAAGTTTACACCCGGGCGGCAGATACCTTTGGCGCGCCCCTCTGTATATGGGTTCAAAAAATGAAATTTATTTACAAAACAATCACATGATAAATAACAGACTTCGGTTGTGTGTAAATTAACGCTAATTAGATCAAACAGTTTTTAGTAAATAGTATTGACGAGGCTACAAAATATCGAAAAGTTAAGCAAATGTTTAAATAGATAAAACACAGTAATCATTTCAAATACTTTTAGGCTATTTCAAGAATATCTATGTTATTAAGATGCAGTAAAAATATTTTTAAAATTAAAGAAAAAATTATGAAATTTGTTATATAATGAATAAACCATAAACATCGTGGTAAGAAAATAGGAAAATCTGTTTTAAATTTAAAAGTAATAATATATATACATAAGTTATTGTAAAACTTACTACATTTTAGTTAAATAAGTAATAAAAAACAGTGTAAAGACATAGCTTATCATACATACTTTAATAAAACGTCGATCACTCTTTAGATATGTAACACTGTAAAACAATTAATATTAAAGTATAACTGTAAACTAGGATAATGTACCAAGGAATTTATTTTAGTTTCTATTTTAAATTGATTTTTCATGCTAATTATAATACATGTTTTGTTGGATCTACAATTGATGGTTGAGTGTTTAATGATTCAATTTGAGTTTTTTTTCCATTCAGTATAGCTTTTACTTCATCGCCATCTAATGTTTCATATTTAAGTAAAGATTCTGCCAATTGCTTGTGTTCTTTTGCATGAGTTTTCAATATTGTTCTCGCACGATCATATGATTCCTGGAGTAAAATGAATGTAATACTATAACCTTTACTGAATATATAAGAACCCTATTATATAATAGAAGAAAAACAGAAAGAAAATTTACCTGTAAAAGCCGTTTTACTTCATTATCAATGAGTTCATTAGTACTAGGACCATAATCACTACCTCCATTATAGAGTTGACTGCTTGAATCTGTATGTGCCCGAAAACCAACTTTTTCAGACATACCATAACTTTTCACCATTTGTTCAGCAACTAATGTTGCTTGCTGGAAAAAAATAAATAATTTATCTTACGCATTTCATAAAAATAAGCTAGGCATACATGTCCTACGTTTCAAGGTACCAATAAACTAATTAAGAAAATAATTTCTACTATAGGTTAATTAATTTGGAGTTTATCAAAATTGTATACAATGCACTATAAAAAATGTTAAAGTTGATATCATGAACTTATTTTCTCCTAATAATTTGTAAGTACTATATCGATTTTAAGAACATATTTTCAACATAAACAAAAAATATTAACATACTTGAAAATCACTTGCTGCTCCAGTTGTCACTTTGTCAGGTCCAAAAATTAATTCTTCTGCAGCACGACCACCCATCATCGAATCCATGGTAGCTAGTAATTGTGATTTTGTTGTATGATATACATCTTTTTCTGGCATAAATGACGTCTAAAAGTATATATGAATTACTTATAAAATATACAAACAAATAATTTGCTTGAAACAAATTACTAGAAATACAGAATTAAAACATAAATAGTAGGAACGAAAATAAGTACTATCTCTTATGACTTACGTGTCCTAAAGAGTGTCCACGAGGTATTATAGTAACTTTATGTAATGGCACAGCATCTTTAGTATAATATGAAACCAATGCATGTCCTGCTTCATGATATGCTGTAAGAAGCTTGGCATCCTCATCAATCATTTTTAGTTTTCCTTCAGGACCCATCAATACTTTATCTCTGGCATATTCTAGATGTTTCATAGTTACATACTTATCATCATCTACTGCTGCTTTTAAAGCTGCTTGATTTATCTTTTAAAATTGTATAAGAAGAATACAATATTTATTGAAATGAAAAAGATAATATCAAAAATATATGAAATACAAATACCATATTTTCTATGTCGGCTCCAGTAAATCCAGCAGTACAACGAGCTAAATATTCTACATCAATATCTCGTGTTAATACTCTTGACAAGTATAAATTCAAAATATCCTTCCTACCAGAAATATTTGGTTTATTTACAAAAACTTGAACATCAAAACGACCGGGTCGCAACAATGCTTTATCTAAATCATCTCGTCTATTAGTCGCACCTAATACTATAACACCTTGATTTTGCAAAAATCTGTAATTAAAATAACGACATTAAATAACCAGTAAATAATTATCCACATAACAATCAAGATAAGGAAAAAAGATAATATAGGAAGATAATTATTACTTTCTTTTATCTATTTTTTCAGTTTACATTTGTAAAAGTGCTGTAACTAAAATAAAACTATATATAAATTTATTCTGCATAATAAAAAGAATGTAAAAGCCCATATTACTCATGCATTTTATATAACAAGGAAAACATAAATATTTGCATTACCCATCCATCTCTGCCAACAGCTGATTTATTGTTTGATTTGCATATGGATGAATAACTGAATTTGTACGTTTTGCACCAACAGAATCAATTTCATCAATAAATATAACAGCGGGTGCTCTTTCTTTTGCTGCCCCTGAAAAAAAGTGATATAACATTTAATACACTTTCTTCTAAATATGGATTTAATGTTATTAAAAAATAATGTAATGATTTAGAGCGTACAGGTCTCAATTTTTTAAAAATATATGTACATTATTTAAGATTTATAATCATACATTTAAGACTGTGCATCATTTGAGAAAATATAAAATAGACTTCTAATGCTGCATTTTTAATTAAACTCAGATTATATTTCTCTTTGAAAATAAATTTTTCTGCACTTTCTCACTCGCTGAGACATAGAAATCTTACTGTTACACAACCCACATACAAACGATATTTAAATAGATAAAAAATTGTATAAAGTGCATCGCTAGAAGATAAGTCTGAACCAAATGACCCTTTTTCTCAGCTTATCTAAATTAAAAATCTTCAATATCAAAATCCATAATATGGAAGTCCCAGGTTAGCCAAGCCGACTTTTGGATCAAAAGTGAAGAGGGGCAAAAAGATTCTTTCACTCACAACGCTCGGCTTTCGGACACATAACCGTTATTGGTGCACGTCGAGGCCCGAGTGTCGTAAGTGGAAAAGTCCTCTTGTCCCTCTCCACTTTTAAACCTAAGATCGGCTTGGCTAATGTGAGACCTCCACAGTAGGTAATGTAATAAGAGTTCCAAACCCGATTAATTTACAATATTTAAATTGTGATACATTCATATAAACAATAAATATTGTCACCTTAAATATGATAATATTTATTCCCAACTAGTTGACAATCACTATCCAAACAATTCTAACTCTACAAAGTTCCCAAAAATTTTGTTGAAACTCTTGCAAATGTGCTCCATATTTTTATATTGAAAAGCACTCTATACTGGGTTAACAAAAATAATGAAAATGTTCTCTTTATATTATAACCTTATAATATGGGTACATGTGAACACAAAAAAATCATATGGTTCAACCCTACTTTCAACATGAGTTTTCTATACATTTAATCACCGTTTGCATAAGAATAAAAATTGATTTTCAAATTTATAAACAATTTTGCAACAAGTCTTACATTGCTTTACCGATCCAGGGGTCTAGATTCACCCTCAAAAATTATGTTTATTAGTTTTTTTACAGTCTATATAAGTATAGAATAAAATTGCATTGATAAGTAAAACATTAAATTATTAATGACTAGAAATCTTTTTAACTACGACGTAATAATAGTAAGCGCAAAGCACATCAGTATAAAAGTAGGTAGTAACGTTTCACGCGAAAGATAAATATCAGATTCATGTGCCATTGTTGAATGATTTTGATCGTTATTAACGGTGATTACACACTCCGAAATAAGACCAAAATCAAGAGTAATGAAATTGTGACAAAGAATTACGTTGAAACCTGTTAATTGTAGCATGCGAATTGACTTTTTGTCTGTGTCTCCCATATGGCACTCTAGTCCATGCTCGCTATTATTAGCGAATCATCTTAAAACAGAAAGATTAATAATCATTAATAACTTGAAAACAAATTCGTCGTTTTTTAGTTTCACCTTATTTTGATCTGTAAAATCACCCCCAATATTACAACATGTAGTCGAATACCATGTATGCATGCATGAATGCTGTAAAGAAGTGTATATGAAAAAATTGTAAATAATAAAAGAATAAGATAGAATGTAATATAAAAATATTCCAAGTACATCTGTAAGGAAATAATAAAATATTATTTCTTTTATACTTACTAAATAACTCTCTTACTCTACGTGCACCTTGTCCAACAAAAAGTTCATCAAATTCTGGTCCAGCTGCATGAAAGAATGGTACACCGGCTTCACCAGCTATAGCTCGGGCTAATAATGTCTTTCCTGTTCCTGGTGGTCCCACTAATAATATACCTTTAGGTAATTTTCCACCAAGTGCAGAGAATCTTTCTGGATTTTTCAAAAACTCAACTATATTTCTCAATTCCTCCATTGCTTCTTCAACCTAATTAGTACAAAAAATATAAACCATTTTTTGTAATAAAATATAATGCTACAATTCAAATTTTATTTATAACACTTACGCCTTTTACATCATCAAAAGTCACGTTAATTGTTTCTGGATTGATCTCAGATCTTCGACCAAGTGTAAATCGAAATACATCTCCCCCTTTAGAAACTGTAATATTAAAAATATGAGAAATTGTACTATTAATAAGGACAATTATTAGGCTTTTTTTAATTAAAATATGTTGATTCCTAAGATAAAAAGACAGTTGACAGTTTAAACTAGTAATAAATAATAAATACAAATTCAAAAATCATTTTATAATATTGCAAATATTAATGAAAATATATTGCTTTTATATAAGCTGTAAAAACTTCTTATAACTTCTTGTTTCATATTGAAAGATAAAATTAAATTTACAAACAAAATAAATTAAAGAATACAAAAGCAGAAGACTTGCTTGTAATCTCATGATTATATAAATATAAATATCTGAAGTACAGAAATTTCAAGTTTTACATTCCTACTATCTTTTAAAAAATGGTTATTGAAATAAACTACAATATTTACATAATATTATTATTTACTTCTATTAGTATTTAATATTGCATTTTTTAACGTCATTATATAATACTTGTTCATTTTTTAAAATAAATACAAATCAGCACCATTAATAACAATTGGAAAAAATATAAAATGACCATTATTATTTAATACTGGTTAAACATTATAAAATACTGTAGCATTAAACCTACATACCTGTTAAATACGCTGCTAGAAAAACCAAAGTTATAGGTAGGAGCGGAGTCAATAACTTTGAGAATAGAGAACGTGAACGAATATGTCGTTGAAGTCCAGCTTCATATCCTTCAACAAAAGCTGCTTTGATTTTGCTGGCGTTCTGTGTTGGCTCATCACTCTTAGCAAATATATTTTTCACTCTATTATACTCTGATTCCATCTTCAAATGTGATCTCTACAGAATAATAAATTATGTATATACATATATAATAAATTGATAACGTATGTAGAAGTTATCATACATTTATCTAATTTTAGGAGAAGACAAAATTTTATTGATACATTGTCTTACCATTTCTGAAGTAAAAAGAAACCATTCTTTCAACTTGTTCATAAACGATGGTTTTGTGTCTAAATTTACTTTCGTGTTATGTCTTGTTCTAAAACTACGAATTTGTAAATGATAATTAAATGGATTTTTAATGGAAAGATCACATGACGTTCTATAATTCTGTTTCAATAATAAACATGTAATTGGTAAAATGATCGGTTCCATAAATTCTGTACAAAGCAACTTATGTTTGTTTTGCGTGAAACTTGTTTCAGATACATAAGATACTTTCCACTTGTTTTCTTTGATATTTTCGTTACAAATTTTTGTGGAAAGTTGATGTAACATTACCCAAACATTATTTTTCCTTATATTAAGTGTTGCAACTACATCATGTAAGTTTAATTTGTCTATTGATACTTTCACATAACTTTTTCCAGTCTAAAATAAGATATAATGTTAGCAAATTTGTATCTAAAATCTATAAAATTAAATATAACAATGAACAAAGTACATTGGAACGATACAAGACTTCATATACAAATATATATATATAATTATTATAATCATTCTTTATATAGATTTTTATTTACAATATATACTAAGTATCTACAATATTTTGTAACAGGCTTTTTTCATTTCGGTATCTCTTTTACCACATTTGATTTTAAATGTACAACATTCCATGTATAAGTAATAACATTATACAAAAATAATATGAATGAAGTATAAATTAAGTGTACTGTATACAGTAATATTAAAAATGTCTTATGGAAGAAATTAAATATTAAAAAATGTAACAGAAATTAGATTTGAAACAGGACATTTTTTATTACATTTGTGTAAATAACAGAAAAATCATGTTAAATATTTAATCAAAATTGTTTAAAACATTGCTGCTGCAATACAATAGCGTAAGTAGTATGCAATTGTTTTTTTGAATTTCATGTTACTAAATAGAATGCACTTGGAAACAACTGTCACAACCAACTTCTGCGTTTGTAAAACTAATAGAATATAATGAAAATACAAGAAAGTACTAAATAAATGAAACTAGGAAAAGAATATAATACAATAATATAAATGGTAACACATAAAACTATAATTTATTTTCGTTTGTACTCAAATTGCAGCTACTGTAACTGTTGCATTGTAGCGGTAATGTTTTTAACAATCTCGGTTAAATGTTTATCATAATATTTTAGACATTTATAATAATGTAATAACAAAAATCCTAATCAAAATTAATCCTTCTTGCATTCTATACAATATGATACCAAAAAAAAATTATATGCTTTTATTTATAAAACTCAAGGTGACCTTTATATGACTATAAATGTAAAAATATTTTTAAAATTATTGTGTACGGTATACATCATACAAATGAATTTTGGTTTATAACTTTTTTTTCTAACATTGCTGCATCATTAGAAAGCATGTAGAATGTTATGTGAAATATCCTACATGTGTAATTATTTCCTAAGATGTAAACGTTCATATATGAAACCATATATAATTCCAAAACTTTTATTTATCATTTTAAAATATTGTACAATAAAAGTCTCTTACTTTTGCTGAAGTATTATTTGAGGCATCATTCGCAGCTTTTTTAAATTCATTTTCTTTTTTGTTTTTAATTTGAAATGGTTTAGGTTTTGAATTAACTGTTGAAGTTAATTGTGTCAGATGATACAACACCTAAAAATGATAATTGTAACTGTTTCTTAACTAACCAAACAAATTTATTACATTACTGTAAAAAACAAAATTGTATGACTAAATATGATGGTATATGCATTATTAATATAATTAATTTAACAAATAACAAATTAATTTCTACTATATTGTTACTAAAAAATAGTAATGAATTTCGTCATATCATACAAATAAGATGAAATGAGGTTATATTACAAATATGTGTAACAATTCAAATAAAAGATATTTAAAATAGACGTTTCAAATAAACATTAAAAATATCAAATGACTGTATACGAAAATGTTAATTAGAATTGAAAACATATGCGATTATGAATAAACTAGTAATACAAACCTGATTATGAGATTGGAAAGAAAACATTGAATATGAATTCTCTTATCTCAGAAAACGAATTAAATATAAATCACTTGTTAAACAATAGAAAATTTAATTCCCTATAATTTTGATTACATCCAAAATAATTAAATTACACAAAACTAATATCACTTGCTAGAAACATAGATTTGATGTTGTGAGATAACGGAAGTGACTGCACTCTACATATGTAAACTTCCGAATATTTAAAATCAATTGCGGTACGAGTTCATTTAGTTAGAATATAATTTTAAATCCCTTCGTAAAATACACACATATGTTTAAACTTAAGATTTAATTACGTTTGCAAAAACATATTTTATTTCATAACAGACATTTTCATATTACGAATCATATATAAAAATGACTGTTTTGTAATATCTATGCATACTTCATTTATTTTCGGAGAAAATATGATTATATAATATGTATTATAATTATAAGTATAAATCAAAACTAATTCGACTTTAGCTCGTTAAGATTTGCTTAACAGCATAAAAATTTATATTCTCTTTACACAATGGTTACAAAGAGAATTCATATGTAGTATTTAGCAACGTTAATGAGGTGAACGCATAAACGTTGACTAACGTTATTTGGAAATATAGTATTTTCGACTATACGAAAGCTTCCTTATTACACGTTACATAACGTGATATTAGTTTGTATTTATTTCATTAGTATCTTTTATTTCGCTACGATGTTAAAATACATAAATTGAGAAAAATAAAATAAAAAATAATAATCTTATTTTTATTCATGAAACCATTCAAATTAAGTGCAGAGAGAAGAAATAATAGTACAAATTGATATCATAAATAACAGCGAAAATGACAAGAAGCAATTAGTAACATTGCTCCTGTCATTTGCACAAACACGAACAGAAATAAAAGTTGGATACATAGAAACTTAGTATAATATATTTAACAAAAACGAAAAATTATGAAAACTTTTCTAAATACTTGTTATATGCAAATTAAGATAATTAATTTTTTTCTTTTTTCTACAAACTTCTGAAAATTGCAATTGTAACTAATATTTTATAGAGATTCGTAATTATAACTACAAGCTAAATCTAATAAATAAAATGTGACACTGTGGTGACTTGCCATGATAAACAAGGAACCTTCTTTATCTAAATATACAGTCGGGGACAGAATTATGTGGATAAGTGATGGTAAGAGGTATCAATGCAATTTAAACAAATTTGTATTAGTGGAATATCTTTAAGTTTCATTTATTATATATCCTTATAGTGCATAGATTATTTACTGAAAAATTGAAAATAATATTTACGTTTTTGTGCAAGTAAACGATGTTAAACAGGAAAGTCAACTATTCGATGGACAAAAGTATGTGGACACACATTAAAATTTGTTATAAATTAAACAAGTAATAAAATTAATATTTTATATTGCCGCCTTTTTTAGTCTTCGCTTAATTGTTTTTGCACAAATATTTAAATCTAACGATTCTACAATGTTTCTGACGGAAGTTGTACCTTTTCGACATTTTTTAAAAATATGACAGTCTTCTTGTGTGGTAGCGCAACGTTTTCGTCCACGATCTCTTCAATTTTCGATAGTAATATGAATTAAAAATATTTTTTATAAGTCGTCTCTACAACGCTTTTAGACATACGGTACTTGCTGGTAACAGTATGATCGTTTATGTTAATACAATAATCCGAAACAGTTAACCCGCGAATTTAATTTGCAATTTCTCCAGTTTTTGATAGTATGCTACTATTTAACAAAACATCTTAACTTTGTAAAGCTAAAACTGACACTAAGAAGATTGTGTGAAATTAGTTTTTGCAAGTGTTAGGAGTGCACTGTGTTTGTTCACATTTTTCACTTTGCAATAAACCACAACCGAGTGTCCACTTATTTTTGTCTCTCTACAAATAAGTGTATTTCATGCTCAATATCGTTCATTCGAACCAAAACGTTAATATGAATTTCAGATGTGATGTATAAAAACAGTTAGTTAATAGAAATTATATAACTAAATTAAAATACAATTAAAAAGCCATAATTGTTGAACTCAAGATGAAAACGGAAAGAACATTATAAGAAAATTTCAAGAAAATGTATTAAGAAGTTTTAAAAAGGCTGTACTTCCGAAGATCTGAAAAATCCAGTTGAGTTGAAATTTTGCACATAGGACCCTTTTAGATAGAAACAATGTTTGTGAGAGGGATTTTTAAAGAATTTTATCATTTGGTGTCACTCCCTGTAATTTTTGAAACTTTTATGTTCTGATTGATCTGATATTCTACTAATAGCTTCATTTGGGATAGGAAAAATATTTACGAGATGGATTTTTGGAAATTTTAAAGTTAAAATTACACCCGGGTGCAAAGAACCTTATACCTAAGAAGGACGTTCCGGTACAAGAATGAAAGAAATAGATTCTAAACAAAATTTTAATAAGAAAGAATCTATTCTGAATATGTAATGAATTTCGAAAAAACCTCGGGTGTTAAATTCAACTCCTCAATATGTTAATATTCTATAATGCCTGTAGAACATTTGGTATTTCAATATACAAAACATGACCCTCTTCATAATAAGTATAAACTAGAATCTACACTGAAGGACAACTTAAAAGATAAGAAAGTACAAAATCTACTTGAATTTATCGAGGAAATCAAACTGATAAATCAGATGACATAATCCATTCCTACTTATTCTATAATGTCGCTAATAACGTAGTAATTGTTGTGACATAAAACATCAACAACAAAAATCACTGTATCGAAAACCAAGGCGGCCCGAACACCGTGAGTGGAAGTATCTTGTTGCCTTCCTGACTTTTAAACTTTTAATACAACCGACGTCTTTTCTCTGTCGGACAATACCAGAGAGTGGCTTGGGCCTTTGTTCGAACGTTATCGACTACCTTGTATTCCAAGCGCGGATTTATGATGCGTCAATTATTATTAAAACTTAAGTTTCAAGACGATTTACTCCCACGTCTGAAAACCATAAGTGGCGAGAAATGTTTAACGATATAGAAATTTCCAGCGTTTTAATCTCTTACTTGAGATTTTCATTACAATATTCCCTGACGTTTCTAAAAATAGCTGTTTCCATACGCATCATGAAGTGGTGCTTATTTTATAGTCTAGCGGTAACATAGGACGCTATACTATAAAAAGTAAAACGCTTTTTCACAAAATTTTGTGTTTTAATCTTCGCGTCGCAAAGAATTTCTCTCATAAATATTGTTTTTATGCAAAATGAAGGTATTTGCAAAATCTCAGCCCCATCAGATTTGTTAGGTTTTTGGAAGTTTTGCCCATTTATATTCACACATTCAGAATGAAATGATAGTTATCCAAAACGGGAAATCGTAAGACTCGGTTAAAATTATTATTAGTATAACATCAATAAAGGGCGTAAAGAGAGACATCTGGACAAGTAATTAAGACAAAAATTTTTAAGGAAAATTAGAAAAAAGGAATTGTTGACTCAAAAATGATTGATAATCGTATTTATATATTAAGAAACATTACAAACGTCTTCATAGACTATGGATTTTAATAAATTGTTCAAATATTTGCATTTGATAGACCTTCCACCGTCGTCCTTGGACTAACGCTCTCATTACTGAATCGTTAAAGCTGAGAGCTTTATATTATTCGGGCGAATTGTCAAATGAATCTAGTTCTTGACGTTTCATAAGAACATTACATATTTAAACCCTCGAATGTCAATAGAAAATTTGTTTGTTTGCGCGTTATCTGCTGATCAAGACAAACCTTCGTGAATTCCGTTGCGGAACTCCACTCTGAAACAGTATTCGTCACTCGTTCGTCACACTGTATTGTTCCCGCTTCAAAACATTTTCAGTAGATATCACTAATAACAAGTAATTTTAATCACGTGTGGACCTATCGGTGATTAACTAAAAAGTGTTTTAAGAAATACAAAAATAATATTTCCAAAGTAAACCGCGATACTTTGATTACTAAAATCCTGCTTTAAATTTCAATTTGCATTTGGAAGATTCAACCTCAAACTGGAAAGAAAAATAATTTATTGTGATAATGACGGTAGTCCATGATATGCGTGCAATTTTCTTTATTGCTCGGATTTTCGGTTGTACTAGTCAAATCACTGTCGAGAACGACATTAAGGCAAGAAGGCGCCGCGACATACTCTTCATCGTCATTGCGATTTCCGTATACATGGCTAGTTTAGTAAAATTAATTGTTTACAAGGTAGACACCAACATTTTGGACTCCATATCTGAGATCTTCACCATAACGAGGGTGTTTCTTTTTTATTTTTGTTATTTCACGGACATTTGTTTAACGACGCTGTGGAACCGGAAGATACGCGTTGTTCTCTCGCATCTGCGAAACTTCGACCGTGCCACAAACTTCAACGATTTGCCGAGACGTCGTATTGTGCGAAATTTATCCCGAGCTTTTACATTCATTACGTTTACGTGGTGGACGATAACTGGATACATCACTTACAGGTATGGCTTCGGGGGTTGATAACGATCAAGCTCGTTCATGAGATTATCAAATTTTTACGACTCTGAAATGGAACTAGTTCGGTGGGATGGGTGCCCTTGAACTTTCCGTAAAGTTTTAATATAGTTTCAAAGTTCCGTGACTCGATTTATCCTCCAAACGAACCATGAATTTCTATTTTAGACAAGAATCTCATAAAGTAATCGTTGAAGAATTAACATATTCGCAGGCGTATTCGAGACCCAATGTCTTTAGATTTCTCTCTTCACTGGAACTGTCAACAGCGGAGTATATTCATTAAAATATTTATTAAAATATTCATTAAAAATATACAACTTCATTGGCAGATTATTCTGTCTGTTTGCATAGCATACTAAA